TTGAAATTGTAAGGGTACTTATTTTTTCCAGTTATGATTGTGAAGGAATATACGTAAACAATAGAGTATACGGTAGATGCGCAATTCATCTTTAGCGTTTCTAAAGCAGGACTCCTCGGAACCTCCACGTCGCAACGAAATATTCGTCGCACACGGTGTCCTTCTGGCGCTCCGACCCGATGTTGGTTCTGGACCCATGAGCCAATCAATCAACGGAGTCGCCCAGACAGTCGCACACGTCGTCTGCTGAAGAAGCCAGTCGCCACCGTCACCTCCACCGACCTGTGTCCTTGGGAATACCAGTCAGTACCGCACTGGAACACGGAGAAACGCTCTAGCAATCAGTTGGTTTCAGGAACCACCCAGATCTCGTGCAGCATGAACATCCAGTTTTCATTCCATTCCACCTACGTGCGTGCGACCTTGCTGGATTCCGCGTGTTTGTGAGTGCGTATGACCTGAGCCAGAAATCATGAGAACCGAGACAGTCCACTGACGTTTCAGCAACTGAAGCCACAATAAAGACCGAAGCTGGGACAACAACGTTTAGAGACCAGTGACGCCTAGTCTGAAAGCGACCAGCTTCCCGTGATTTACGTGCTTCTGAAAAGCTTTCTCGTGCACGCCAGTTCCTTCGCCTCCGAGCGACTGACGGCATCTCTTCATTTCCTTACCTCGAACTTTTGGAGCGCCTTATGACCGCAAATCTTAATCTCCTCACTTAGATCGTCGTCGGCTCTTACCTGATGCCACCTCTTCGCCTCGGACTCACTACAGACTGGCGACGCTTCTCGCGGCGTTAATCTGGGCTCTTGCAGCGACTTGCAGCAGCCGTTGACTATCAGATAGAGTCTCGTAGGACTTCGTTTTGTTGTTCAAACATTCTCTGACAATCCCTGTAGCAGGAGGAGGAGGAGGAGAGCAGCAGCAGCAGCAGCAGCAGCGTTTTTGAACAGCTGGAGTAGCGGAATCTGCAGTTTATTGCAGCCATGGTCCGATCAACAGAATAGTAGGTTCTCTTCTTTCGTCAAACTCAACCTGAACATGCGGTTGCAATTCGCAAGGACCGATCTCAACCTATTACCTTGTTCTCACTTAATCAAATGCTGATGTGTTTATTTTCGTTCTTTCTGTCTCAATATGTTTTCCCCGTGTGTTCCTGTGTGTGTTCTGTTGCCTTTGGGTGTTGTGCGCGTGTGTTTGACCGTGTCTGGTGGTGTGACCGTGTCTGGTGGTGGTCCTTATTGGCTGGTTATGACCCTGGCCGTGATTCGTCGTTTTGCGTCTTTTTTGTCGTGATTTGTTGTGAATGTTCCTGTCTTTGGGCATGCTTGCTTGGGATTTTGAATCTACTTACCGTCGCGCGCACCATACGTCGCACGGCGACTCTTTCATCAACGCAGTCGCATCACAATGCCTGTTTCGCTAGAAGAGGTGAGACTGAGGCGAGCGGAGGGGAGACGGCGCGATGGGGAAGTGGGTCGAGCGCATGGAGCAGGCATGCATGTGTTTCGCGCGTGCCTCTGCGAGATTCCGAACCATCCACCAGTCCTGGCCGTTCCTTGCGCAACTTCTCGATGTTCATGCGAACTGGAATTCTCAGATGCACATCAGTCACATGTGTCAATTCCCTTCTTACCCTCCACACGCTCCATCCCTCCTCCCCGACTCCCCTTTCCTCTTCCTCCCCCTCGCCAGTACCGCATAGTAAGGCAGGAGCACATGCGGTCGCGCATGCAGATGGAGAACACGCCCCTTTCCGCGCTCCCTTCTCCCGCACCCCCATCCCTCCCGCATTTCCCCCCTCCCTGGCAGTACCGCATAGGGCAGGCGTACATGCGGTCGCGCATGCAGATGGAGAACACGCGCGGCAGCGAGGGCGTGGAGGTGGTGGCGTCGCAGCCGTTCAGCGACGAGCGCATGGGCGCGGGCCACATGGCGCACGTCGTCTACCACTTCCACAGCAAGGCGCCCGCGTGGCTCCGCGCGCTCGCCCCGCACGGCGCGCTCTGCCTCGAGGAGCAGAACTGGAATGCGTATCCGCGCAGCAAAACAGGTGCGGCGCAGAGGCAGAACAGGTAGCTCTCGCGCAGCAACACAGGTAGCTCTCGCGCAGCAAAACAGGTGAGGAGGAAGCAGGAAAACAGGAGACGAGTAGTGTCGTGTAAAGGTTGGAATATGAAGAGCTTTTTCAGAACGCTCATTGCATGCATAATCACCCACTCCCCCTTCCAAACGTTCTCCCTTTTCTCCCTCCCTCCCATTTCTCTCGCTTCCTTCACGCGTCCGGCTATTGGCGCCTGCTCCCACCATCGAACATCAGTGCTCAAGGTATGTTCTGGAGCTCTTGCGCTGCTGCCTGTTACCGCCTGTCCAATGCGCACCCCCTGTCCCGCAATGCCTGTACTCCATTACAGTGGCCCTGTCCCCTTGCCGCACCCCATCCCACGCCTCATGCCACACCCCATGCCACACCCCTCACCTGGTCCCCGTCCCATGTCACATCCCATGCGCATGCACCCCTGCATCCCCTACCTCACCAAGTTCTCGACCGTGCTGCCCCCGTCCCCATGCCACACCCCATGCGCGCCCCTCTCACCCGCAGTGCCCGTACCTGACCAAGTTCTCCATCACCATCGAGTCCATACACCTCGCCGACAGAGGCGACTCCGAAAACGTGAGTCCGCATGTGTGGGAGGCATGGCAAGCAGGGTAGGGAGGGTGGGATGGCAGGGAGGCACAGGGAGGGACGGGGAGGCTTGGCGGGGGGCCATCGGGGGACGGCATGGCGGGGAGGGATGGTTGATTTTTATGCATGATGGATGGTACGCGTGGGTGTTGATGCATGAGGAATGGCATACGAGCCATGGGAGGTCCAGCAGCATACGAAGCGACAAAATGATTTTAATATATGGTGCACTCATTCCTCCGTTTCCCTCCTCTTCTCCTTATCTTATTCCTTCTCCCACTTTCCTTGTTTCTATCTTTCCTTATCTCCCTCCTCCGCCTTCCCGTCTTTCCCCCATCCCCTTTCCTCCCTGCAGGCGCTGGGCCTAAGTGAGGAGCAGGTGAAGCAGCGCAAGGTGGAGAGGGTGGACATAGCGAGCCATGAGCGGGACATGTGGACTCAGAGATGCCACTCTCGCACTCTCACTCTCCCCCTTAAATCTCTCCTGATTTTCCCTCCGTCCCCCCTCCTCTTCCCCTGCAGGCGCTGGGTCTAAGCGAGGAGCAGGTGAAGCAGCGCAAGGTGGAGAGGGTGGACATAGCGAGCCACGAGCGCGACATGTGGACGCGCCTCATCGCCAAGTCCGGAGTCGACCCCTCCAAGCTCGCCCTCCCCAAAGCCAAGCGCGGCCCCCTCGCTCCAGGCTGGCAGGTCGGTGCTGTGCTGTGTTGCCGAGTGGCCTCTTCCTCCTTCCTCGATCAGTGCATGTCACTAAAAGGATTTCTCTTGGCAAGCCGTCTTCTGCACCTGTGCGTGCCCCATCATGCATCCAGCTTCCTGAGACCAAAATCCGTTTGCTCCCCCAACATCCCCCCCCTCCCCGCCTCTCCCATGTCCCCTTCCCTCTCCCCATTCCCGTATCCACTCCCCTGCCCTGCCCTCACCCGCTCCCTTCCCCCTGGGGTGTGACACACTGGCGTGGTGGGGAGCAGGAGGCATGTGAGCCGGTGATGACGGCATACAAGATGGTCACGGTGGACGCACCCTATTGGGGCTTCGGCAAGAGGCTAGAGCTATTTGTACTGGCTGTAAGCTCTTTCCCACCACCCCTCCCAGTTGCATCTCGCTCGCACACCTCGCTGTGATTGCTAGTTTGTCTGACGAAGAACCACATGCTTCTCATATCATGCTCTCTGTGCATTGCTATTGCATTCAAGGTAACATGTCGATGGCTGGCCTCATGCTTGCTTATGTTCTCTCCTTCCTCTCTTCTCTTTTTGCTATCCTTACCGCTCCTCCCCTCTCCTTTCCTCTCCCTTTCCTCTCCCTTGCCTCTCCTCCCCTCTCCTCTTCCCCCTTCCCCTACTGGGCGAGCAGGGAGAGAGGGCATTATTTCTGGAGGGCCATAGGAAGATGTACGGGTGGATGGACGAGTGGTGTGAGCTCACAATGGACGATGTGCGCCGCATTGAGAAGGACAACATCGAGGCTATGCGCAAGGTGCCCTTCCTCCTCCGTTAAAGAGGTTCAAACAGATGTGCAAAAGGTGTAGTGTTGCAATTGCATGGACGAGTGGTTTGAGCTCACAATGGACGATGTGCGCCGCATTGAAAAAGACAGCATCGAAGCCATGCGCAACGTGGGTACATTTCCTCCCATTGAGACGTCCATGCGCAAGGTGTACTGCTGCTCTGTGGTAGTCCATTGAGGCCATGCACAGAGTGCAGTGCGGTAATGATAACAGTCATATTTGCTTTACAGACAGTTTACTGAGCGAGCGACAGTCCCTCCATTCACTTGTTGGGTTCACAATGCATAAGTTCGTGTAATTTGTCCCCCCCTCCCTCCCTGGCCTTTCTCGTTGCTGCAGAATCTTGCTCTCAACAACAAGGTGGCACCAGATGAGTACAACGAGGATGAGAGTAAAGCTGAGGTGGACGGGATCCATGATGACGCAGACAGCAGTGAAGCTGACTTGGAAGATAGCCCCAAGGCCAAGGGCAAAGCCGCAGAGGGTTAGTCATGAAGCCGCAGAGGGACAGTCCTTGAAACAAATGTTTCACTTTCAGCAAGTCCCTTGTGTAATTATATATTACCAATAATTGCATTGCATAGTGTGCTCTGCTCTCCCTATATAAAGATCATTTGTTCCCCTACATATATCGCAGTGTGGTGGTGAAAGGAGCAAGGGAGCTTTATTACAGCTTCATGTCTCCCCTATATTCCCTTCCCAACTTTCCACCACCTGACTAGCCCTAAATAATCAGCTAAGGTCGGCCACAGAGGGAATATAAAAGCCTCTCATTTCATGGCAAGCAAGCACACAAGTCAGTCAGCCCATGTGGTCCATGTCTGCTGCGCCATCATCAGGTTTGTCTATGCACACCGGCTCCCACTCGTCGTCTGCATGCACACACACAGGCAGACAGGGCAGCAGGCGCATAGGCAGGCACACAGAGGGAGTGGGGAGTGAGGGGGGTAGGGATATTGGCAAGTGTTGGAGGAAAGGTGGACCAGTGGGGCGGCAAGGTACGGTAACAGAAGCTGGATCCTTGAGAACAGACGGAAAAGATAATGGCGTGAGTGAGAAGGCGGCAAGGGGAGAGGCGGACCTGAGAGGCGGTATGTGAGTGCCACCACTGCATCATTCTCCACCTGCCACATGCATGCATGGGGCATGGACACATGGATGCATGGGGCATGGACACATGGATGCATGGGGCATGGACACATGGATGCATGGGGCATGGACACATGGATGCATGGGGCATGGACACATGGATGCATGGGGCATGGATAGGAACTGTGTTTTGAGCACATGGAAAAGCACATGGGGATGCACAGAGTAAAAGTCAGTTGTGTGATGCAGGGCAGCACGAGTGCTGACTACCCTTCCCTACCCTGATTCCGCGTCCTCCTTACCCGCTGCTCCGCCAGCGCTCGGTTGTCGTCGAGCGTGGCGCTGCTGTGCAGCAGAACGAGCGTAATGTTGCCCGCCGCCTACAGGTTCTGCTTCACCTGCAGCACCTTTTGAGGCGCCTCAAAAGTCTTACCCGCTGCTCTGCGAGCGATCTGTTGTCGTCAAGCGTGGCGTTGCTGTGCAGCAGCACGAGCCGAATGTCGCCCGCCGCCTGTCCGCACAGCACCTCCAGGTTCTGCTTCACCTGCAGCACCTTCTGCGAAGGCTCGCAGTAGAGGAAGTAGGTGGTCGCCCGCCGCTTGGCCCGCACGTACATCGACTGGCGGCGGTCCGGTGTTGGAGGGGGGAGAAGGGGGGGGGAGGAAGAGCGAACGCGGAGACGAGAGAAGGAGGGGAAGAGGGGACGGAAGGGGGAACACTTAAGGAACGGCCTGGAGGGGTGGGGACGCTGGGAGGATAAGGAAAAGAGGAAGTGGGCTCGGAAATTAACAAAATAAATTCGCGGACGCCTGGCGTCGTGGAGCGACGCTTCAGCGCGAGGAGGGGAGTAACGAGCGTCGCCGTTAACTGGTGTACCATGGAGGCCGGGAAGCGGGCCGCGAGGTGAACCGCGGGATACGACGGAGCGACCAAGGGCTGCGCTTGCTGACGCGATAGGCGCTACTGCAATCCGCTGCTACCGCACTCAGGTGCTCCTAGGGTCTCGTTCCCTAAAAGCGGTCTGAAATTCTTCTCCGCTCGGGGAGAACGTCGAATGGCAACCAATGCTTTAAACGGAGGAGCGCCGTGATATTGCTGCTCTGCGTGTCGGTTGGACGCAAACAGGGCTCCGCCGCGTGGGATTCGAAGGTTATGGGCCGTACCGGTACATGGAATGGAACACCGAGCGGTGGAATTGATAGAAGCTGTGGAACAATGGAGACTTCAGGAAGAGTGGCGACGAGTCATACTCGCTACCATGCACCTCGTGCTGGGAACCGAGTATACAGCGCAGCGAGTTATCGTAAACAGCGATATACGTACGAATGTGAAGCAAACTTGCCGACATTACTAAAAGGCTTCAGTTTATTCCGCGTTCGGCATATTCCCCTCGCGTGTGTTTCATCGCCTGCTCGCTCCAACTCATTCGTGCCGCCATCCAGCCACGGTTCCGCCCAGCCAATCCCTGCCCGTCAGCGTGGCTCGTTGCTTTTCGCCTTCTGCTGCCCCGTCAGCATGATCACCAGCCAGTGCGCTGCTGCATTGGCACAACTATCCACGAGGGAGTTGGCGCTGCTGCTCGCTTGATCCTCTAACCTTGGGAGTTTTTTTTAGCCACTTATTTTTCAGAGCGATTGCTGCTAGGGAGCCGCCACGCCATGCTCAGGAACTTGGCTGATCATTAGCCAGCTCATGTGCAGCGTTCCGTCTTTTTTCCCTCGATCCTCCGTCGTATGCGACGCAGTCTCCTAAGGGCGAAGCTACGTTATCGCAATGCATCCCGTTAGTCTCGCGGGTTCGGTCAGCGCGTCCGAAACAGCACGATCGTTCCTCGCGACGCCACGACCCTCGCAACGCGCTCGTCGCCGCAATGCCTCCAATTCCTCTTCGCACGGTCACATTGCGTCGCACAGCGCCGTCGATCGTCGCTTAAGCTCGCAGATCGCTCGTACCGCCTTCCCGTCCGCAGCAACACTCACATCAGCACCAGCACCGAACTCTCGATCCACTCGTCCACGTCAGCACGTCCCCGTGCGTGCAGCTGCTGACGGCGATGGCGGAGTCGATTATTCGGCCTCGGCCGAGGCGGTCGATGTGGCGGCGGAATCAGCGAGCTCGGCTTCCCAAGGTAGGTACCCAGTGTCCGTCCCTCTCGACGTTAACGTTGACCTCTTCGAGTTAGACTCCATACAACTCGCACAATTTCTCTTCCCTCGCGGATCTTCGGGACGTTTACGATCGTGTGCATCACTGCGTCGTGCGGAACTTCTCCCGTCAATCCAGGATCACCCGCCGTTGAGCCCAAGGCGCGCACCAAAACCTCCAGTAGCAGCAGCAGCAGCGGCGGCGGAGGAAGCAGCGGTAGCGGGGGTTCATCCGCGCTGGATAAGCTCCGCGAGCTGCTGCGCGCAGCGGAGGCGGAGCTGGAAAAGGCGTGCGCGCGGACCGTAGAGACGGAGGAGGAGGCGCGCAGGGTGGCGGAACGCGCCATAGAGATTTCCGACGCCGCCGCTAAGGCGGAAGCCGCCGCGGATGCCGCAATGGCGCAGGTGGAGGCGGAGCTGGCGGAGGAAGCGCTGGCGCAGGATGCGCTGCGGCAGGCTGACGTGGCGTTTCACGAGCAGGCGGAGGTGCTGGTGGCGGCGGAGGCGCAGCAACAGGCAGTGGAGGCGGGGATAGCGGGGATGGCGGAACAGGGGGTTAAGGAGGGGGAAAGCTTGCGGTCGGGCGTGGTTAGCTTAGTGCAGGAGGTGCGCGAGGAGCTGGCGCGGCGAGAGGCGGAGCTGAGAACGCGGACGGAGGCAGCCGCGCAAGCAACTGGAAGGCGGGTGAGGGCGCAGGAGGAGGCGTCCGCGCTGGTGGCAGCGGCGGGGGAGGCAAGGGCGCGCGCGGGGCAGGCGGAGGAGGAGGTGGGGGAGCGCATGGGCGTGGCGGAGAGGGCGGTGGCGTTCGAGCTGGAGGCGACTCAGAGCGTGGCGGAGGCCGCCAAGGCGCTGGCGAGGGCGGAGAAACTGGTTACTGATATCGCCAAGGTGTGTATGGGGCAAGGGGGATGCAGTGCAGTCTAGTGGTAAGAACTGGATCCCCTGCCAAGAACTCACCCTCATCACCTCTCTGCGTCACTACTTCCTCCCTATTTCCTCCGCCACCCATTTCCCCCCTATCCAGGCGGAGGCGGAGGCAGCAAAGCTAGCCGCGGAGAAGGCGACGCTGCTGGCAAGCGAAGTGGCGGGGGTGTCAGCAGCACTGCGCGCCACTGTGAAGGGCGGACGGGCCGCTGCTGGCATGCCCACCACTGACTCCGATAGCGACTCCGACAGGGACTCTGACAAGGACTCTGATAGGGAGGCTGGTAGGGATGCGGATAGGGAAGTGGCTAGTGAGTTTAGCAGTGAGTCTAATCCGGAGGGGGTGAATGTGAAGGAAGGGGAGGAGAAGGCGATTTTGGGGGTGGTTGTTGCAGAGACGGTGGGGAAGGCAGAGGGAAAGGGGAAGAAGGGGGCGAAGGCTGGAGGGGAGGAGGGGGCAGTGGCGGATGGAGGGCGGACTGCGGTGGTCAGTGAGGGAGAGAAGGACGCGAGGAAGGATGGAGTGACGGACGGGGTGAAGGGAAGAGGGGAGGCTGATCTGGGACCCAGCGGCCTGGCAGGCACGGGTGCTGCAGATGTGATTAAGGGCGATGGGGGGGAGGCCGGAAGCGAGGAGGAGGAGGTGGAGGAACTAACAGCTGTTGCCACATCCGCTTCAGCAGTCCCCGGCTCAGATGAAGCCACTGCCACTCCTCCTGCTGGCCCCTCCTCCGCTCCATCTTCCAAGTCACCCTCCTCCTCTTCGTCCTCCTCTTCCTCCTCTTCCTCCTCCTCTGCATCACCCACCAAAAAGTCATCCCAGTTCTTCTCAGCGTCCTTCTTCTCAGCGGACGGGCACGAGGTGGAGGATGCACTCAAGTGGGTGCGATCCGCACTGCCCCCGCTGCTGCGACACCTGCCCAAGCTGCTGCTCGCCCTCACCGTGCTCCTCCTCGGGTCAGTGCCGCCTGCCACTCCCAGAGTGCTGCGTGCTGCTCCCAAAGTTATGCGGCATGCCTGCCTGCTTCTCTACTTCCTGACCAATACACCTCTGTGCGCCGGGCAGCATGATTGCCGCTGACTTTTGCTCCTCCTCTTCGCTTATAGAGCATCTTGCCTGGCTCGCTGTTCCATCTCGCTTCCCTTCCACGCTCCTCCTCCGTGCTCCGTTCCCCCTCATTGCTCTTCCCTCTCTTCCCTTCCCCTCACCACCCATCCCAGGGGCTTTGTGCTCAGTGCGCGCATGACGCACAGGGCAGGCGATTTTTTAGGCGCCTAAGAATCCTCTTCCCCTTTTCCCGTTCCCCCACCACACCAGCGGCTTTGCGCTCAAAGCGCGCATGGCGCACAGGGCAGGGGGGCACGCGCCCCCCGCCACAGTCGTACAGATGGAAGCCATGCAGGGAGGGGGACTGGCTGGGCCTGCAGGGGACGCTGCCACGCACCCAGCAGCAGCAGGGTGGGCGGCGGGGCAGCAGCAGCAGGTGCAGGGGCCGGTTGCTACAGGTAACCCGGTGGTGTCTGCAGTGCAGGCAGCTGTGGGGCGGGCCAAGGCGCTCATTGACAAACTGCCCCGACACGAGGTGAGTAACGTGCATGCAGGTGTTGCCAGGACACTGTTCCGCATCATTCCCCCCGTCCTCTTCCTTCCTCTCCCCTCATTCCCCCGTCTTCTCTTTCCCCCATCGCTGGGCTGTTCCCATGGAGCTGAGAGCCCTGCCTGTGCCTGGTTTTCCAACTCCATCACTCACTGTTCCTCGCTGCTTTCCTGCCAAGCCTCTGCCCTCTCCCTGTGTGCTCATCCGCCCACTCCCATCGTTCCTCCTCTCTCCCTTCCCGTACCCCCTCCCGCACCAGCCGAACGAGGAGGAGACACAGCTGTTTGACGTGCTGTGGCTGCTGCTCGCCAGTGTCGTCTTCGTCCCCATCTTCCAGAAGCTACCCGGAGGTACTCTCGCTCCCACTCACCATGCCATGCTGCTGCCTTGCCATGCTGCTGAGATTTCTCAAACGCCTGCTGGGCGCCCATGTGCGTGCATTGCATGCATGGCACCAAGGCTTATTACTCCCTGTGCGCTCACTCCCTCGCACCTCCTTCCCCATGTCTGTTGTCCTGTCACCGTCACCACAGGCAGCCCCGTGCTGGGGTACTTGGCAGCGGGGGCGCTCATCGGCCCGTACGCACTCTCCATCATAAAGCACGTGCACGGCACTAAGGCACTGGCAGAGTTTGGCGTGGTCTTCCTCATGTTCAACATTGGCCTCGAGGTCAGTCCGTCTCTCGTGCTGTCTTTTGCTTGCACTGAGTGGGAGGTGGGTGACGTTGCTGCCATGTTGGTTAAATGGGAGGCGGGTGAGTGACATGGGAGGCAGGTGAGTGACATGGGAGGCAGGTGAGTGACATGGGAGGTGGGTGCACCAATGCACTGGCAGAGTTTGCCGTTGTCTTCCTCATGTTCAACATCAGTCTCGAGGTCAGTTAGCGCTGCGGTTCCATGGCGGACTATGCAATCGGAATCCACAACTACTACCATGTTCTCACGTGACTGTCAACCTTCTCGATTAGGCCATCTTTTCGCTCACTCTCTCCATCATCGCCTCTTCACTTGCCCTCTCACCCCACGTCCCTCTCTCCCTGTCAAACCCCCTTCCCCCACGGCCACACCAGCTGTCTCTGGAGCGCCTCCGCTCCATGCGCAAATACGTCTTTGGACTCGGCTCAGCTCAGGTGTGTGTGTGAACGCGGTCTGTTGCGCACCGCCTGTTTCCCACTGCCTTTTGCCCTCTGCCTGTGTCCCTCGCTTCTTCTCCCTTCCCTAGATTCTCTATTCCCCTTTTCACAATCTCTTCTGCCACCCAAATTGAACACCTCTGCTCATCTGTTCAATCCCTAGTTTTGTTTAAGCCATCCCATATGTCTAATCTCTACTTCTCTCCCTCGTCTCCCCCCTCTCTCCCTACCGGTACTGCCAGGTGTTGGTGTCAGCGCTGGCGATAGGGCTGTGTGTGCTGGCAGTGGCGCGTGTGTCGGGCCCAGCAGCCATTGTCATTGGCAACGGCCTTGCCCTCTCCTCCACCGCCGTTGTCCTCCAGGTGGGTGGGTCTCTGCTGTTGTGCCTCAGCTGGGTCTCTGCTACATGCTTTATTTTCACACTTGAAAGAGCCAGTCTACATGCTTGCAACCCCACCCCACGGCCCACCCATTCCTCCACCCTTCACACCGCATCCAACCGCCTCCTCCCTCTGCTCCTCTTTGCCGCCCGTCAGGTGCTGCAAGAGCGAGGGGAGAGCACGTCGCGCCATGGGCGAGCCACCTTCTCCGTGCTGCTCTTCCAGGTGCTGCTCGCACGCTTGCACGCTTGCTTGCATGCGTGCATCCGTCTTTGCCTTTCATGCACCCCATGCCACTCAGCACTCTGCTCGCACCTTTGCATTCTGCATTCATTTGCGACTTGAGAGCATCCCTACTGCTCTAGAAAGGATGTGGTTATTCCCTGCCACTCCTACCCCCCACCCACCCCTTCACGGCCATCTCTACAATGCCACACCAGTCCCATTAAACACCCGTTCAGTGACAGGGCACTTTCCCTTGTGTAACACATTCCATCCCATCCCATCCCATCACAGCCCGTCCTTCTCAACACTCTCTGTTGGATAACCCGTCCTTTCCTCTCATACCCCCCCGTGCGCCATGCGCCATGTGCCATGCGCCATGTGCCATGCGCCATGTGCCATGCGCCATGTGCCATGCCACAGGATCTAGCAGTGGTGGTGTTGCTCATCCTCATTCCGCTTCTCTCCCCCAACTCCACCGGAGGGGTGAGTGCACGTCCCTCTTCCCGTCCTCCTCTCGTCTCTCTCTGCTCGCCTCACATCACAGTCCAGTCTGCCCACACACTTCCTCCCTCCCACATGGTTTAGTAACTTCATAACTATCCATATCTGCACCCCTCGTGTTCCATCACATCACATGCAAGGAACTGCTCTATTCAGCTCCAACAACCACCTCTCCTACACAGCACTGATTGTACTCATCTCATCTCCCTCTATCTCTGTTCAACCCCCACCAGGGCGTGGGGTTCAGGGCGATAGCGGAGGCGCTGGGGGTGGCGGCAGTGAAGGCTGTCATCGCCATTGCAGGCATCATTGCCGGCGGCCGACTGGTGCGTGCTGCGGATGGGCGGTTGGGGGTTGGCTGAGGCTGAGGGTTTTGGGGATTCTGAGTGCTGTTTGGAGAACCATGATTGATCCTCGTCTTTGTTTCCAATCAACACATTCAACCCACACCAACCCCTCACCCCCCATCTCTCCCAGCTGCTGCGCCCCATGTACCGCAGCATGGCGGAGAATCACAACGCAGAGATCTTGATCCCATGCCGGCCCTCTCACCCTTTTTCACCCCCTCTCACCCCTTCTCACCGCCTCACACCCCTGCTCCCTTCCTCAGCTGCTGCGCCCCATGTACCGCAGCATGGCGGAGAATCACAACGCGGAGATCTTGATCCCATGCCGGCCCTCTCACCCTTTCTCGCCCCCTCTCACCCCTTCTCACCGCCTCACACCCCTGCTACCTTCCCCAGCTGCTGCGCCCCATGTACCGCAGCATGGCGGAGAACCACAACGCGGAGATCTTTGCCGCCAACACGCTGCTCGTGGTGCTCGGCACCTCCGTGCTCACCGCCCGGGTGAGGGGATGTGGTTGCAAGGGTGACGGGAGGGGGAGGGAGAGAGAGAGGGTGAGGCATGTTGGGGAAGCTGCCAACACGCTGCTCGTGGTGCTCGGTACCTCCGTGCTCACTGCCCGGGTGAGGATGGTGGGGTGGGGAGGGCGGGAGGGCGGGAGGGCGAAGGGGGAAGGGAGGGGAGGGCGGGAGGGTGAGGCGTTCTGGGGGTATAGGGGGGAATGCCAACACACTGCTCGTGGTGCTGGGTACCTCCGTGCTCACTGCCCGAGTAAGAGGGGGATGGGTGCGGTGCCGGGCATGAGGGTGCAGCGAGGGTGATGTAGTGGCCAGGGTGGTTGGCTTGGCGAGGGCATGGGTGAGAGGACGCTGTGCTGGTGTCAGGGCTAGGGAGGGCACTGTTTTTTCCCAAGCTTATCACACATTCAATTGCCGTGCGGCGTGCGCTACTGCCATGCTCGCCTCGCCTCGCACCCCTTACCTTTCCCTGCTGTGAAATCTCTTCAACCCCATGCACATCCATCCGTCCATGCGTGGCAGGCGGGGCTGTCCATGGCGCTGGGAGCGTTCCTCGCAGGCCTGCTGCTCTCAGAGACCGAGTTCGCCCTGCAGGTGCGTCGCTACATACTCCACTGTTTGGCTGTTTGGCTGTCGGCAGACAAAGGCGGCTGGATCCATGGAGGCAGAAGCAGGGGGCTGGATGATGCGCGCGTGCACCTGTGGGGTCTGTCTGTGTGTCTCTGAAACGTCTCACTCTGCCATCCTCGCCCACCGCTTTCTGCTGCCCTCACCACTCGTGCACCCCCACGCTTTCAGCTGCTCGCTTTGCCTGCCCACCTCCACTCTCTATCACCCTTTCCACCACCCTTCCCCTTCGCCCTTCACCCGTCCACCTGACCCTCCCCCTGGTTGTGCAACGCACAGGTGGAGTCAGACATGAACCCGTACCGCGGGCTGCTACTAGGGCTCTTCTTCATGACTGTACGTTGCACACCACACATGCTCGTGCAACCACATGTACCACCTGCACTGCACTGCATTCACACGCATGCCCCCCCACAAATAGACGGCTTTTGAAGCGCCTGAAAAGTGCCCCTGCGCGAATTCTTCCCACCAATAGCGACCGCACCCTCCCCTGCGCGAATTCTCACTCGCGTCATCTCACGCGTGTCCTCACCGTCGTGCCCACATACCTGCCGTCTGCCTGCTGCTCATGCACCTTTCACACGCTCTCCCCCTTACCGCGCATCCCTCTTCAACCCCCATATCCTCCCCACCCTCCACAGGTGGGCATGTCAATCGACCCCAAGCTGCTGGTGGCGCGTTTCCCCCTCATCCTGGCAGCCCTCGCGGTGCTCATAGCGGGCAAGACCGCACTGCTGGCGGGCATGGGGCGCCTCTTCGGCCTCTCGCCCGTTGCTGCTGTGCGCACGGGCCTGCTGCTCGCCCCTGGCGGGGAGTTCGCGTTCGTCGCCTTTGGGGAGGCTGTCAGCAAGGTGAGCGTGGGGGTAAGCAAGGGGCGGAGCTTGGGTGGAGGAGGGGAAAGGGAAGGGGGGGAGGGGAGAGGGTTTTCTTTGGCGGGCATGCGGCGCCTCTTTGGCCTCTCGCCCGTTGCTGCTGCTCGCACCCGGAGGGGAGTTCGCGTTCGCTGCGTTGGGGGAGGCTGTCAGCAAGGTGCGTTCGTTTAGAGAATGGGGTCCCGGTGTTGCCTCGTGCACCTGCTGGCGCTCTCGCTCTTCACTTTGCGCTCAATTCTCTCCCCTCCACTCCTCTCTCCCTTCCATCCCTTCTTTATCACCATTCCCATCTCCTCCCCATCCTCTTCCCATCCACATCCCCCTTCCACTTCCCTTTCCCCATCCCCATCCCTATCAGGGCATCATGAGCGCACAACTCTGTTCGCTGCTGTTCATAGTGGTGGGGCTGAGCATGGCCATCACGCCATGGCTCGCCTATTCCTGTCCCCATCTCAACCCCCTTCCCATTCCCCTCCCGCACCTTCCACCAACAGGGCATAATGAGCGCACAACTCTGTTCGCTGCTGTTCATAGTGGTGGGGCTCAGCATGGCCATCACGCCATGGCTCGCCTATTCCTGTCCCCATCTCAACCCCCTTCCCATTCCCCTCCCGCACCTTCCACCAACAGGGCATAATGAGCGCACAACTCTGTTCGCTGCTGTTCATAGTGGTGGGGCTCAGCATGGCCATCACGCCATGGCTCGCCTATTCCTGTCCCCATCTCAACCCCCTTCCCATTCCCCTCCCGCACCTTCCACCAACAGGGCATAATGAGCGCACAACTCTGTTCGCTGCTGTTCATAGTGGTGGGGCTCAGCATGGCCATCACGCCATGGCTGGCAGCAGTGGGGCAGCTCATCGCCTCGCGCTTTGACCAGCAGGACGTGCGCTCGCTGCAGCCACATGAGGCCGAGGTGAGCGAGATGCCCATTTCGTATGCCCACTTCATGTTCCGTTCCATGGGGGCTTCATCTCCAACTGCCTTGAGTGGAGGACGTGACGTGCACCATCTGCACCCACACGAGCTCAGGTCACTTGCCCTCTCGCACTCTCTGCTCCATATCACCGCTGCTTCACTTCACCCGATTAAACACTACTTCCTCAATTCAACTTCTCTCGCCCCATCGTCTCATTTGGCCCCTCACCCCCCTTCTCTCTGCCTCTCGCCTCGCCAATCCAATGCCCGCACAACAGACGGACGATCTGCAGGGTCACATTATCATCTGCGGCTTCGGCCGCGTGGGTCAGGTGAGCCTTCTGTTCTGCCATATGAGCTTTTCTAACATCGTTGCTATCGGCTTGCACTCGCTTCTCATGTCACACCCGTCCCTCACACCTGTCCCTCACACCCATCCCTCACACCCATCCCTCCCCCCAATGGCTCGCAACAGATCATAGGCCAGCTGCTGTCGGAGCGCCTGATCCCCTTTGTGGCTCTCGACGTGAGCAGTGAGCGGGTCAGCGCTGGTCGCTCCCTCGACCTCCCCGTCTACTTCGGCGATGCTGGCAGCCGCGATGTCAGTGCCTCCCCCTTCCCCACCTCCTCCCCTCTGCATTTCCCGCCTGCCCTCATTTCCGTTTCCTTGTACTTCGAACCTGCACCTCAAACCTGACGTCAAACCTGCACCTCAAACCTGACGACAAACCTGCACCTCAAACCTGACGTCAAACCTGCACCTCAAACCTGACGTCAAACCTGCACCTCAAACCTGACGTCAAACCTGCACCTCAAACCTGCACCTCAAACCTGACGTCAAACCTGCACCTCAAACATGCACCTCAAACCTGCACCTCAAACCTGCACCTCAATCCTGACGTCAAACCTGCACCTTAAACCTGCACCTCAAACCTGACGTCAAACCTGCACCTCAATCCTGATGTCAAACCTGCACCTTAAACCTGCACCTCAAACCTGACGTCAAACCTGCACCTCAAACCTGACATCAAACCTGCACCTCAAACCTGACGTCAAACCTGCACCTCAAACCTGACCTCAAACCTGCACCTCAAACCTGCACCTCAAACCTGACGTCAAACCTGCACCTCAAACCTGACGTCAAACCTGCACCTCAAACCTGACGTCAAACCTGCACCTCAAACCTGACGTCAAACCTGCACCTCAAACCTGCACCTCAAACCTGACGTCAAACCTGCACCTCAAACCTGCACCTCAAACCTGCACCTCAAACCTGACGTCAAACCTGCACCTCAAACCTGCACCTCAAACCTGACGTCAAACCTGCACCTCAAACCTGCACCTCAAACCTGCACCTCAAACCTGACGTCAAACCTGCACCTCAAACCTGCACCTCAAACCTGCACCTCAAACCTGACGTCAAACCTGCACCTCAAACCTGCACCTCAACCTGCACCTCAAACCTGTACCTCAAACCTGCACCTCAAACCTGATGTCAAACCTGCACCTCAAACCTGACGTCAAACCTGCACCTGACGTCAAACCTGCACCTCAAACCTGACGTCAAACCTGCACCTCAAACCTGACGTCAAACCTGCACCTCAAACCTGCACCTCAAACCTGACGACAAACCTGCACCTCAAACCTGACGTCAAACCTGCACCTCAAACCTGACGTCAAACCTGCACCTCAAACCTGACGTCAAACCTGCACCTCAAACCTGCACCTCAAACCTGACGTCAAACCTGACGTCAATCATGCACCTCAAACCTGCACCTCAAACCTGCACCTCAAACCTGCACCTCAAACCTGCACCTCAAACCTGACGTCAAACCTGCACCTCAAACCTGACGTCAAACCTGCACCTCAAACCTGACGTCAAACCTGCACCTCAAACCAGCACCTCAAACCTGCAAACCTGACGTCAAACCTGCACCTCAAACGTGCACCTCAAACCTGCACCTCAAACCTGACGTCAAACCTGCACCTCAAACCTGACGTCAAACCTGCACCTCAAACCTGACGTCAAACCTGCACCTCAAACCTGACGTCAAACCTGCACATCAAACCTGACGTCAAACCTGCACCTCAATCCTGCACCTCAAACCTGACGTAAAACCTGCACCTCAAACCTGACGTCAAACCTGCACCTCAAACCTGACGTCAAACCTGCACCTCAAACCTGACGACAAACCTGCACCTCAAACCTGACGTCAAACCTGCACCTCAAACCTGACGACAAACCTGCACCTCAAACCTGACGTCAAACCTGCACCTCAAACCTGACGTCAAACCTGCACCTCAAACCTGACGTCAAACCTGCACCTCAAACCTGCACCTCAAACCTGACGTCAAACCTGCACCTCAAACCTGCACCTCAAACCTGCACCTCAAACCTGCACCTCAAACCTGCACCTCAAACCTGACCTCAAACCTGCACCTCAAACCTGCACCTCAAACCTGCACCTCAAACCTGCACCTCAAACCTGCACCTCAAACCTGCACCTCAAACCTGCACCTCAGACCTGCACCTCAAACCTGCACCTCAAACCTGCACCTCAAACCTGCACCTCAAACCTGCACCTCAAACCTGCACCTCCAACCTGCACCTCAAACCTGCACCTCAAACCTGCACCTCAAACCTGCACCTCAAACCTGCACCTCAAACCTGATGTCAAACCTGCACCTCAAACCTGATGTCAAACCTGCACCTCAGACCTGCACCTCAAACCTGACGTCACACCTGCACCTCAAACCTGACGTCAAACCTGCACCTCAAACCTGACGTCAAACCTGCACCTCAAACCTGCACCTCAAACCTGCACCTCAAACCTGCACCTCAAACCTGCACCTCAAACCTGCACCTCAAACCTGCACCTCCAACCTGCACCTCAAACCTGCACCTCAAACCTGCACCTCAAACCTGACCTCAAACCTGCACCTCAAACCTGCACCTCAAACCTGCACCTCAAACCTGCACCTCAAACCTGCACCTCAAACCTGCACCTCAAACCTGCACCTCAGACCTGCACCTCAAACCTGCACCTCAAACCTGCACCTCAAACCTGCACCTCAAACCTGCACCTCAAACCTGACGTCAAACCTGCACCTCAAACCTGCACCTCAAACCTGCACCTCAAACCTGCACCTCAAACCTGCACCTCAAACCTGCACGTCAAACCTGCACCTCAAACCTGCACCTCAAACCTGCACGTCAAACCTGCACCTCAAACCTGCACCTCAAACCTGCACCTCAAACCTGCACCTCAAACCTGCACCTCAAACCTGCACCTCCAACCTGCACCTCAAACCTGCACCTCAAACCTGCACCTCAAACCTGACGTCACACCTGCACCTCAAACCTGACGTCAAACCTGCACCTCAAACCTGATGTCAAACCTGCACCTCAGACCTGCACCTCAAACCTGACGTCACACCTGCACCTCAAACCTGACGTCAAACCTGCACCTCAAACCTGACCTCAAACCTGCACCTCAAACCTGCACCTCAAACCTGCACCTCAAACCTGCACCTCAAACCTGCACCTCAAACCTGCACCTCAAACCTGCACCTCAGACCTGCACCTCAAACCTGCACCTCAAACCTGCACCTCAAACCTGCACCTCAAACCTGCACCTCAAACCTGCACCTCAAACCTGATGTCAAACCTGCACCTCAGACCTGCACCTCAAACCTGCACCTCAAACCTGACGTCACACCTGCACCTCAAACCTTACGTCAAACCTGCACCTCAAACCTGATGTCAAACCTGCACCTCAGACCTGCACCTCAAACCTGACGTCACACCTGCACCTCAAACCTGACGTCAAACCTGCACCTCAAACCTGCACCTCAAACCTGCACCTCAAACCTGCACCTCAAACCTGCACCTCAAACCTGCACCTCAAACCTGCACCTCAAACCTGATGTCAAACCTGCTCCTCAGACCTGCACCTCAAACCTGCACCTCAAATCTCAAACCTGACCTCAAATCCGATTATTCATGCGCGATGCAACATTCCTTTTTTTTTGTCCTGCCCTCTCCCTTTACTTGCCCCCTGGAGACAGTGCATGACTCTTTCCCCTACCTTCCCTTTCCCCCTTCCTGCCCTGCCCCAACCGGGACCCCTCCCACCAGGTGTTGCACAAGGTGGGAGCAGAGCGGGCAGCAGCAGCAGTGATCACACTGGACACACCGGGCGCCAACTACTGCGCAGTGTGGGCGCTCAGCAAGAGCTCTCCCTCCCTTCCTCCCCCACCTCTGCCCCTTACTACCCCCTCCTCCCATTCCACTCCCCCACAGGTGTTGCACAAGGTGGGGGCGGAGCGAGCAGCAGCAGCAGTGATCACTCTCGACACGCCAGGGGCCAACTACCGCGCGGTGTGGGCGCTCAGCAAGAGCTTCCCGCACGTGAAGACGTTTGTGCGGGCACACGACGTGACCCACGGGATCAACCTGGAGAAAGCTGGTGCTACTGCTGTCGTCCCTGAGACCCTTGAACCCAGCTTGCAGCTAGCTGCTGCCGTGCTGGCACAGGTGAGGCTGAACCTGAACCACCCCCATGGAGAATTCCTAGACCTGCAGTGCCCCTGCTGCACTCGCCCTTGTAGGCTTGAGTTGAGGTTTGAGGCACCTCGGAAAAGCGAGTTTGAGAATTGTGGAGGCTGGAGCATGGTGGATGATTGGAGCTTCTAAACCCTGGATGGCAGTTGTGTCGATAGGGCTTCCCCTTCGTGATTGCTCCCCCCTCCTCTCATTCCTTATCCTTTTCCTCATGTCTCGCCCTCCCACCACCCCCATGCGTGTCTCTCAGGCAAAGCTGCCAGCAGCAGAGATAGCTGCCACGCTGGACGACTTCAGAACACGCCACCTGGCAGAGCTGACGGAGGTGAGACACCTGGCAGGCAGCTATTACTTTAGCTGATTACGCTGGCTTTCTTGGTGCTGTTGGGTCGTCCCTGTAGTGTAGATCCAGCGTTTTTTAATTCCTGCTTATCTCTCTTTTCGTGCTCCTCTTATTTCTGTGTTTTGCCTCTTGGTCTCTCATCCGGTCCTCGCCCCATCCTCTACACTCTCTCACACATCTCTCTGCACTGAGTGGGTCATTGCTGGGCTATGGCTACTCCAGCAACCTCATGATTGGATTTTCTTCCTTGCTCCTCTCATTTCTGTACTCTGCCTCTCATCCTCGCCCCATCCTCTGTCATCCTCACACAGCTCTCTGCACTGAGTGGGTCGTCGCTGGGCTATGGCTACTCCAGCAACCTCATGCGCGCCAGAGTTGCCGAGGCAGCAGGTGCGGCCGAAGCAGCAGGGAGCGGCAGCGGGTCTGCTACTGCAACGACCACCACCACCAGTAGCAGCAGCAGCGGCAGCAGTAGTGTGACAGAGGGGGAGGGAGGCATGGAAGGGCAGGTTGTGGTGCCTGCTTGAAAGGAGCTCAGAGCCACACTATCATTTATTATGTTAACCGCGAATTCAGAAAACCCATGTAAAATTCTCTGCATACATTATTCTTTAAAGGAGTTACATACAGTGCACCTGCTAAACACACATTTCCGCGATGGTCCTTTCTCTAGCCACTATTCGTCAGGGACTGAAGCTGTTCTTAGCGCGTACCACAACAACTCTGACCGATACTGCACCGGCGGCGGGACCGACACAATGCAGCCTTGATTGACCTTGCAAGTAGCAGCACCATCCGCAGCTGCGACTCATTCCAGCTTCCGATGGCGCGCCACGAGGATCGCGAGGCGTGCAGGCATCAATGCGTCTGACTGACGCTATCGAACGTGTAGGCTCTGCCGATAGCAATCGTCTGGGTAGTGTCGATAAGTATCGCCTAGGCACTGCTGTGAGCTGCTGACGATCGGATGCGCGGGACTGCCTCCTGGGCTCGAACCCCGCGCGCCAGCGCATTCCTCCGATCGCGTCGTATCGCGCCATTGTCGCAGCTCTCCGCGCGCAACAGAGATTGGGAACTGTTTGCTAATTTTAGTGACTTGGTGACATTGTCTAAACGCTCCGACGCGAAGACTGTGTAACCGTGGTAACCGCATTCGCACGTCCCGCCAGCATGGCAGGCCTAAACCTTCTCGGCCTCTCCCGCGGCTCCGGCAGACGACCCTCCGTGAGTCTCACAAGTCCCGATCCCCACTCGCCCTCACTCTCTCCCGCCCTCGTGCGTGCTCTCCTCCCCCCGCGCATTCCTCCCTTCTCTCCGCTCCGCTCCGCACGACCTTCCTCCGCGGCACGCACTCGTTGCCCTCGTCGCGCCATTCTTCGTTCCGCGCCCCTCCGCGCAAGCCGCGTCTCCCGCTTCCGCCAGTACCGCTCAACGCTCTCTTCCCCACTCTTCCCCAATCCCCCCCCATGCTCTCTCCCCTCCCTTCTCCCATTCCGCGCCCGCCCGCCCATCAGGCGCGGAGGCGCAAGGCAGGCGCGCGGGAGGGTGGGGTGGTGCTGCCGGTGCGCGCGCTGCTGCTGCTGTGCGCCGCGTGCTTGGCGCTCGTGCTGCTCGCCGTGCTCGCTGTGGTGGTGTGGGTATGTGAGCGGTGCTCTGGGTATGTGAGCGGTGCTCTGGGTATGTGTGCGGTGCTGTGGGTATGTGCGCAGTGCTGTGAGTATGTGTGCGGTGCTGTAGGGATGTGTGTGAGCATTACTGCAGCAACCCCTCATGCTGTCTATCTGTCTTCTCTCCTACCTCATCGCCCCTCACACTCCTCGCTCCTCTCTCATCTCTCCTTTCTCCTCGCTGCTCTCTCCCCTCTCCGAGCTCCCCTCTCTCCTCTCCTCTCTCTTCTCCCCTCTCTCCGCGTCAGGTGGCCTCGATCTCATGGCGGCATCAGCAACTGGCCAGCGCGCTAGCCAACTCCAATGCGAATGCTGGTGCTGCTGCTGCTGCTGGGGGGAGTGGGGCGAGTGGTGGGGCGAGTGGGACAGCAGCAGGAGCAGCAGCGGGTGGCGGTGCAGCAAAGGAGGCGGATAAAGAGATGAACCCTGCTAATCCCATGCACCTCCATGGTATGACCCATGCCCTCCTCCGCGCTACCACGACCCATGCATCTCCATACCCAGTTCCTGTGTGCATCCCCATCAGGTTCCCCATCAGGTTCCCCATCAGGTTTCCCATCAGGTTCCCCATCAGGTTCCCCATCAGGGTCCCCATCAGGTTCCCCATCAGGTTCCCCATCAGGTTCCCCATCAGGTTCCCCATCAGGTTCCCCATCAGGTTCCCCATCAGGTTCCCCATCAGGTTCCCCATCAGGTCCCCCATCAGGTCCCCCATCAGGTCCCCCATCAGGTCCCCCATCAGGTTCCCCATCAGGTTCCCCGTGCACCCAACTCCGTTCATTGTGATCACAGCGGATGTGAATCTGATACAGCCATTCATATCTCTGTTCTCTTCTTTGCCTTTTCTGCCCTCTTCTCTTGCAGCTGCCCCTCCCGCGTCCCCTCCGCCTCCTCCCAAGGTTAGTCATACCACCATGCCATGCCATGTCGTGTTGTGCATTCATGTTTCAATCGTGATACACGTCTAGTAGACACATCACCCGTGCAATCCATGCGTCTAAGGTGCTACTTAAAACTGCACGAGGAACGTCATCTGTGCTGCTTCGTCGCTTTCCTGGTCCATGCCCGAAGTCCAAAACATGCCCATTGCATAAAGCTCAGTGCTGAATGCCGATTGCTCGATGTCTAAAACATGTCAAATTTCAGTTCTCCACCCCAACCATCCCTCCTCCACCTCCCTTCCCCCCTCTCAGACCGTGCGAAAGCGGCGCAAGGCGAAGCCAACGGACCTGATAAACCAGAGGCGCTGGCAACAGTTTTACCGCAACATCGTTCTCTGCTCACTGCTTCCTGCTCCATGCTGCTCCATGCTGCTCCATGCTGCTCCATGCTGCTCCATGCTGCTCCATGCTGCTCCATGCTGCTCCATGCTGCTCCATGCTGCTCCATGCTGCTCCATGCTGCTCCATGCTGCTCCATGCTGCTCCATGCTGCTCCATGCTGCTCCATGCTGCTCCATGCTGCTCCATGCTGCTCCATGCTGCTCCATGCTGCTCCATGCTGCTCCATGCTGCTCCATGCTGCTCCATGCTGCTCCATGCTGCTCCATGCTGCTCCATGCTGCTCCATGCTGCTCCATGCTGCTCCATGCTGCTCCATGCTGCTCCATGCTGCTCCATGCTGCTCCATGCTGCTCCATGCTGCTCCATGCTGCTCCATGCTGCTCCATGCTGCTCCATGCTGCTCCATGCTGCTCCATGCTGCTCCATGCTGCTCCATGCTGCTCCATGCTGCTCCATGCTGCTCCATGCTGCTCCATGCTGCTCCATGCTGCTCCATGCTGCTCCATGCTGCTCCATGCTGCTCCATGCTGCTCCATGCTGCTCCATGCTGCTCCATGCTGCTCCATGCTGCTCCATGCTGCTCCATGCTGCTCCATGCTGCTCCATGCTGCTCCATGCTGCTCCATGCTGCTCCATGCTGCTCCATGCTGCTCCATGCTGCTCCATGCTGCTCCATGCTGCTCCATGCTGCTCCATGCTGCTCCATGCTGCTCCATGCTGCTCCATGCTGCTCCATGCTGCTCCATGCTGCTCCATGCTGCTCCATGCTGCTCCATGCTGCTCCATGCTGCTCCATGCTGCTCCATGCTGCTCCATGCTGCTCCATGCTGCTCCATGCTGCTCCATGCTGCTCCATGCTGCTCCATGCTGCTCCATGCTGCTCCATGCTGCTCCATGCTGCTCCATGCTGCTCCATGCTGCTCCATGCTGCTCCATGCTGCTCCATGCTGCTCCATGCTGCTCCATGCTGCTCCATGCTGCTCCATGCTGCTCCATGCTGCTCCATGCTGCTCCATGCTGCTCCATGCTGCTCCATGCGGCTCCATGCTGCTCCATGCTGCTCCATGCTGCTCCATGCTGCTCCATGCTGCTCCATGCTGCTCCATGCTGCTCCATGCTGCTCCATGCTGCTCCATGCCTGCTCCATGCTGCTCCATGCTGCTCCATGCTGCTCCATGCTGCTCCATGCTGCTCCATGCTGCTCCATGCTGCTCCATGCTGCTCCATGCTGCTCCATGCTGCTCCATGCTGCTCCATGCTGCTCCATTGCTGCTCCATGCTGCAGGTCCATGCTGCTCCATGGCTGCTCCATGCTGCTCCATGCTGCTCCATGCTGCTCCATGCTGCTCCATGCTGCTCCATGCTGCTCCATGCTGCTCCATGCTGCTCCATGCTGCTCCATGCTGCTCCATGCTGCTCCATGCTGCTCCATGCTGCTCCATGCTGCTCCATGCTGCTCCATGCTGCTCCATGCTGCTCCATGCTGCTCCATGCTGCTCCATGCTGCTCCATGCTGCTCCATGCTGCTCCATGCTGCTCCATGCTGCTCCATGCTGCTCCATGCCTGCTCCATGCTGCTCCATGCTGCTCCATGCTGCTCCATGCTGCTTCCATGCTGCTCATGCTGCTCCATGCTGCTCCATGCTGCTCCATGCTGCTCCATGCTGCTCCATGCTGCTCCATGCTGCTCCATGCTGCTCCATGCTGCTCCATGCTGCTCCATGCTGCTCATGCTGCTCCATGCTGCTCCATGCTGCTCATGCTGCTCCATGCTGCTCCATGCTGCTCCATGCTGCTCCATGCTGCTCCATGCTGCTCCATGCTGCTCCATGCTGCTCCATGCTGCTCATGCTGCTCCATGCTGCTCCATGCTGCTCCATGCTGCTCCATGCTGCTCCATGCTGCTCCATGCTGCTCCATGCTGCTCCATGCTGCTCCCATGCTGCTCCATGCTGCTCCATGCTGCTCCATGCTGCTCCATGCTGCTCCATGCTGCTCCATGCTGCTCCATGCTGCTCCATGCTGCTCCATGCTGCTCCATGCTGCTCCATGCTGCTCCATGCTGCTCCATGCTGCTCCATGCTGCTCCATGCTGCTCCATGCTGCTCCATGCTGCTCCATGCTGCTCCATGCTGCTCCATGCTGCTCCATGCTGCTCCATGCTGCTCCATGCTGCTCCATGCTGCTCCATGCTGCTCCATGCTGCTCCATGCTGCTCCATGCTGCTCCATGCTGCTCCATGCTGCTCCATGCTGCTCCATGCTGCTCCATGCTGCTCCATGCTGCTCCATGCTGCTCCATGCTGCTCCATGCTGCTCCATGCTGCTCCATGCTGCTCCATGCTGCTCCATGCTGCTCCATGCTGCTCCATGCTGCTCCATGCTGCTCCATGCTGCTCCATGCTGCTCCATGCTGCTCCATGCTGCTCCATGCTGCTCCATGCTGCTCCATGCTGCTCCATGCTGCTCCATGCTGCTCCATGCTGCTCCATGCTGCTCCATGCTGCTCCATGCTGCTCCATGCTGCTCCATGCTGCTCCATGCTGCTCCATGCTGCTCCATGCTGCTCCATGCTGCTCCATGCTGCTCCATGCTGCTCCATGCTGCTCCATGCTGCTCCATGCTGCTCCATGCTGCTCCATGCTGCTCCATGCTGCTCCATGCTGCTCCATGCTGCTCCATGCTGCTCCATGCTGCTCCATGCTGCTCCATGCTGCTCCATGCTGCTCCATGCTGCTCCATGCTGCTCCATGCTGCTCCATGCTGCTCCATGCTGCTCCATGCTGCTCCATGCTGCTCCATGCTGCTCCATGCTGCTCCATGCTGCTCCATGCTGCTCCATGCTGCTCCATGCTGCTCCATGCTGCTCCATGCTGCTCCATGCTGCTCCATGCTGCTCCATGCTGCTCCATGCTCCTCCCCTCCTCCCCTCCTCCCCTCCTCCCCGTCCCCCCAGACCGCCCGCAAGCGGCGCAAGGCGAAGCCAACGGATCTGATAAACCAGCGGCGGTGGCAGCAGTTCTACCGCAACATGGTGCTGATCGTGAACTACAAGCGCCCGCAGCAGATGCCCGTCACCCTCGACCTCCTGCACTCGCTCTACGGCTCGCTCTTCCAGCGCATCCTCGCTGTCTCCGAGTTTGGCGACGCCGATTTGGGGGTGCTCGAGGTGCGTGCACGGTGCACCATGTGGCCAGGGCGGGGAGGGGTGGGGCGCAAGGGAAGGTAGTGGCTGCTAATACCTCCCACGATCCTCATACCTCCCACGATCCTCATACCTCCCACGATCCTCATACCTCCCACGATCCTCATACCTCCCACGATCCTCATACCTCCCTCCTCCACCTCTCCCTCCCTCTCCACCCGCCTGCCTGCTCTCGCAGTCCCCTGTGAAGGAGACAGGGCACGGCCACGACTTGCCGCCCGGCTCGCTGCACTACAGTGTGCTGCCGAAGCTGCTGACGTGGCACCCCATGGCGGAGGGCTCCCCTCCCCTTCACTCATCACCCCCATCACCCCCATCACCCCCATCACCCTCATCACCCCCATCACCCCCTTCACCCCCATCACCCCCATCACCCCCATCACCCCCATCACCCCCTTCACCCCCATCACCCCCATCACCCCCATCACCCCCATCACCCCCATCACCCCCATCACCCCCATATCTCCCCCCTTCAGTCGCGCATCTGGTTCCTGGGGCCCATGCACCAGTCGTGGCGCATTGCCAGCCTCGACCCCAGCGGAAGCGTGGCAGGGGGATGGGGAGGGGAGGGGAAGGAGGCGGGAGCGGTGAGGTACATGGAGGATGCGAGTGAGCGCGTGGAGGAGAGTGGGGAGGCGCTGCAGCTTCTAAAGCAGGCCGTTTTCCAGGTGAGACTTCGTGTGCCCTGCCGTGCCATACCATGGCATGCAATGCCGTACCATGTGGTGCCCTCGCGATGCTTTTTGTGCCTCAAACTGTGTCACATCACATGGTACAGTCTTCCGTCAATCCATGCTCTCTTGCACCGCTGACTCGCCATGTTCTGCCCCTCATTTCTCGTCCGTCGCCCATGCTCCTCATTCCCCCCAATGCCCTTCCCCCACAGGCGCTCTCCCACCTCCCCCAACAGTACCTGCAGCGGTACCAGCAGTCCATCTCCCCCAAGACAAATATATTTCTGCGGGCGGCGTCGAACGTCTTTTATATCCCGCAGCGCCATGCGCCTGCGATGCGCTCGCTCGTCCCCATCTTTGCCGACCATCGCATTGTGGCTGATGTAAGCTGCACCCTTCTTTTTCACTCCGTTTTGCTCTGTTCCAACATCTACCCATGTTTTTTTGGCACCTTCTTGGCCCCTTAGAATTGCCTTCCACTACTTGTCGTTTTGGTTCCAGACCTCTCTCCTGGGTTTATTATTCATGTGGTTTTATCTTTTGCAGGTGGCAATACCAATGATGCTGCATGCCTTGGAGCATCCACGAGAGTGGGACGGTCACGCATTGACCGATGTTATTTATCTCACAGGAACAGACGTCAATACGCCTGCTAAATTCTACTCGCCCCGTGTCACAGCCATGCATCCATGGGGTCTGTCGGCACACCACCATGGCTCCCACATCATCAAGGCAATGTCACAGGGCGACCCAATGCTAGAATCCACCATTGATGGAGAAAGGGTAGGAAATCTGTAACGATTTTATCTCATTCACTGTACGTGTGCTTTATTCACATTACCGCATTTACCACTCGTCCAAAATGCTAGCTTGATTGCCAGCAGTACGAGCCGCATGTCTCGCGAACCACATGTACCACTCGCGAGTCGCAAATTACGAGCCGCATTTTCCAATTTCGGCCCCTCTTGCTCCCTCTGTCGCCCAACACTCGCCATCATTCGTCTCGTCCCAGCTTTTGTTCTCAAATCCTGTGCCGCATTGTTCTGCGTGTGCTACGTGTGCTGCGTGTGTTGCTCCTGCTCCGTCCAAACTCCTCACAACCTTCGCTGCACCCACCCTTGCCTCAGCACCGTACAAGCCTACTCAGATATTCACGGTTCTCCAGAAAACAACTCTACCTATGAACCACACACCCATCTCGCGCGATTTGGTTGCTTCCCAGGGCTCATGGTGTAAGCGACAAACCTAACCTCATCCACTATCTAGTCGAGTCAAACATCTCGTTGTCCCCCGGAGGTCTGTACCACATATACCAACATGTAAGACTATTTCCAAAATATACCACTTGGTCTTCGTACTATTGCTGACCTACTACGTGCGAACTTCGAGAGCCTTTTCGTAGGAACGATATCCACCACTGGTAGCGTTTGGCAGTGGGCTTTACACGAGGATAGTTCGGGTAGCGCTGGGCCACGACAGCGGCGCACGTTGCGTTCCACTCAGATCCGTCTGCTGGTCACAGGACCGTGCTCCGTGACAGATACCCCGCAGATTTTGGGAGCTCGGACCACCCACATTGTTAACATCGCGGAAAAGGTCGACGACCAAAAACGGGGCTGCCTAGTACCATCATCTAAAAGTTCAAAACACCTCCAAATAAAACTCCTTGCCCGATGAGGACGAACAAGGCGCTCGGCGCGTTTGTGAACGGCGCGCTGGCGGTCATCGGGTTGGGGCTCGTGGGCGTGGCGCTGTGGATGCTGCTCGACGCCACGTACGGCGCGTGCTTGCTGCCCTACCAGCTCCCCGTCATCGTCGTCGGCGGCGCGCTGCTGCTCGCGGCGCTCGTCGGCTTCTGCGGGCTCGCATGCGACTCGAACTCGCTCTCGTGCCTCTACCTCGTCGTCGCGCTCGTCGCCGTGCTTGCATCCACGGCTTTCACCAGTGAGTCCTCGTTTCGCTCTTGTCGAATCTCTTGTCAAACGAGTGCTATATCATGCTTATCCCAATCCGTCGCCGTAATTTCGTTTTCTTCCCTTCCCTCGCCAATTGCCTCGCTTCATCATCCCCGCAGTCTTCGCTTTTCTTGTAACGGGCGGCGCGCCGGCGCCTATAACGAGTCGCAACCAGACGGTGTACATCACGTGGGGCTTCTCGCCGTGGATGCAGGCGCAGGTGGCCAATGCCACGTGGCCCGCAATGCAGACATGCCTCGCGCGCCGCCGCACGTGCGCGGACCTTCGCGCATACGCCCCCGCTGCGCTCAACGGGACGCTTCTCCCGCCCATCGAGGTAACACTCACTTCCACAACATCTTTCCAGTCAGCGAGTGTGATGCAGCGGCATCCTTTCCTGAGGGGACGTGGTGATGTGGAAATTTAATCGCACATATCGCCCATTTTTCATCGCCGCATGCTTATTGTGCCCTCTGGTTGGTTCCCATGGCAGGCCGGCTGCTGCCTTCCCCCGCAAGGCTGTCAAAACCGAACCTACAGGCCCACGTACTACTCCTTCGCAAGCGCCGCTTCCACCGCTCCGCAATCTCCCGCACCTGCCCAAACCCCCGGCGCACCAGGAAGCTCCAACCCCCCACAAACCAGCAGCAGCAGGAGCCAGCAGAACTGCAGCGCATTCAGCATGGAGCCGCAGACGCTGTGCTACTCGTGCGAGTACTGCAAGGGCGGCTTCCTGCACCAGCTGTACCAGCAATACTCCCTGCTCAAGTTCGTCTCACTAGGCGCGTCCGTGGCGGCCCTCGTGCTCTACCTCATGGCCTGCTGCGCCGCATTCACAGGCCTCGACGATGACCTCGACGCCAAAGAAGCTGATGCTGCCGCCGCTGCCGCCGCCGCTGCTGCTGCTGCTGCTGCTATGACTGGTAAGCTGCAGAAGAGCGGGACCATGAGCCGCGTGAACACCTTCACCGTGGCCCCGGGGCAGTTTGAACGGGTTCTGTCGACCAGGGTAGGTGACCAAGGGGTTGGGATGGGGTTGAATGGAGGCGTGGGAGCAGCAGCAGCAGTGACGCAGTATGAGCGGTCGCTAACGTATGTGGATAAGTCACCAGGGGCGCTGGATCGATCTCTCACGGAACTCGAGAAAAGAGGGGGGAGACGGGCGAGTTACGGGGGAGAAACTAGAATGCGGGAGGACATGCGTAGCCGAGGTAGCCCCTATGATGAGTCTCCAAGTTCCCGCAGCTATGCGGATGATCCCCCGACTTCCAGAAGCTCCCGAAGCTCGCGAAGTTCCCGAAGCTCCCAGAGTTTCCAAAGCTCAAAGAGTTCCCGAAGCTCGAAGAGCTACCGAACCCCCAAAAGCGCGGAGAGAGGCAAGGAGGTGTTTGTGGTTGATATAGAGGAGCGAGAAGGGGGGTATGGAATGCCTAAGAGTCATAGTCTCCATGATGATACAATGTGGGAGGAGGATGAAGACATGTACTACAGTCGGATGGAGGAGAGGCGCTTCGAGGAGGACATGGAGAGTGAGTGGGCGAGAGAGAGGGATTTGGAGAGGGAGAGGAATATGGAGAGGGAGAGGGATGTGGAGAGGGAGAGGGAGAGGGAACGGGACAGGGAAGCAGGCATGATGCATGGAAGGAGCTACAGCAGTAAGAGCGGGTCAGGTTATAAACAATCAACGCGGTTGAGCCAAGAAAGGTGTGGCTCACCACCCCAAGGCAAATCGGAGATTGGACACTCCAAGAGAAGCACTCGGTCGACGGGGGGAAAGAGCTCGGAGCATTCTCATACAGGGCGTGAGGGGGGCCAGTCTGAGAGATATCCTTCGAGAAGAGACGAGCAACCACATGAACCACCCAAGGTTTATGACTTGGAGGGTATGTATGATGATGAGAGTGGGTATGAAGATGGTAATCTATATGGTCATGCGCATCCGCAGCGGTCCTTGGATGCTGAATCGGATATATATGAAGGTGATGACTACGAGTCATACGACGATAGAATATAGCCTGTAACATATTCGTTTTTTATAAATAGAAATGTGACTGTCTACACTTGCTAAAGTTAAATTGACTGCTTGCTGTTGAGCAACAGCCACGCAACAGGCAGCTCTTTTCTTGGCATTTGTTACGGGTGCAATGAATCGAAGTAGCGAGAATTGCACTAAGGTGTCAAACGAGTACAAAGATGTGAGCGAAGGCATGAGCGAACATTTATATGAGAAGCATGCAAACGGTAACGCGGTGCGTGCGAGCTAGCCAGTGCTATGCTGGCAGCGAGGCTCGGGCTAGTCCCGAAGCGTAGGCCGACACGGCCGGGCCAGCAGTGCGAGGTTTGGTGAAACAGTGCGCGCGAAGTCGGCGAAGTTCCGTTAGCAGTAACGGGCGAACAACGGCTGTTGCTGTACGCGATGTAGTCGGGCTCCGTAAGGAATGCCGAGAAAATTCCTTACACTACCCCCCCCCCCCTCAAGAAGCCCCCTCCGCTACGCGAGTGCGTGTATGTCGCGGAATCCCCGGCTCCTCAGGTACACTTGTAGGGCAGGGTGGTTTTCAATGTTGGCCAGGGGCACCCAGCTATCCTCAGTTGGCATGCGGTCCTTCCAGCGAACGAGGAATTCAATCCTCCTGATTCCCGTGGGGTGTCGAATCCGATGGCTCAGGATTTTTTCGGGCTCGATGATCGGCTCTGATGCAGGGCGAGTCATGGATGGCGGGCGGTGGCGAGGCAATTGGCTTGTGGTTGGTGTTGGGCTGAAAAGGCCCTTAGGATCTTTGCAGGGGTGAACTCTGGGTAGAGTTGGTGTAGTAGCGGAAGCGTTAATTAAAGAGTTGTGAACCACCTTGCGCTAGTATGTGAGGGCAAAGTAAGTTGATTAAAACAAAGAGATACAAGATTATATAAGAGTACAAGGAATATGAAAGGATACGGTTATAACTGTTTTACTTGTTGCTGTTGCGGTTCGATACAGTGACGACTCGGGCAACTGCTCTGTAGCGAGTCAGTTGTGTGTCCTTGCTGTCGCGCTGTACTTGTCAGGTCAAAGGTCGCTGACCTTTGACTTTCGCGTAACCTCCAGCGGTTACTTCAACCTCCGAGGGTTGACTCGCTGGTGCCTCGATATGCTTTGCTTCGCTTGTGCCTTAGTGTTTCGACACGACAGAAGCGCTTAGGACCGATTGTTTCCAACACTCCCCTTCGCTTCTGGAGTGTCGCTGACGTGGCTCTGTCCAGTCAGCAGCATGCAGTATTCGAACTTCTGCTTTCCGAGCTTCTTGGACGTGGGGCAGTATGACAGCTCGAGCCTTCCCTTCTCGATCTCGTCCTTCACGAAGAAATATCGCAGGGCGATGTGTTTCGTCCTGTTCGCGAAGCCGTTCTTGTTGGCGATGCGAATTGCCGATTGGTTGTCGCAGAACAGGGTAAAGTTGGGTAACTCGGCTAACTTCGCTTCTTCCAGCAGCTCGCGAAGATAGAGTCCTTCCTTGGTGGCTGAGCAGAGTGCAATATATTCTGCTTCAGCTGACGAGAGAGCAATTAGTTCCTGCTTGCTCGATTGCCAGGAGATAGGTCCGATAGGTTCGAGGCGGTAGATGTAGCCGGTGCGGGAGCGCCTATTGTCTGAGTCGCCCGCGTGATCTGCGTCGACGTAACCGATTAGCTTAGGCGTTGTAGTTGCGTTCTTATGGAAAGTCAGGCCGACCGTCGAGGTACTGACAAGGTAGTGAAGAGCGCGGTCGAGCTCCGCCAGATGTTCCGCTTCAGGCTTCTTGAGGTGGGTGGCGAGCTGGCTTGCAGAGTAGGATAGATCTGGGCGGCAGGTGACAGCTGCGAAGAGAAGGCAGCCCAGCTTTCTCTGGTAGTCGCGTATGCCGGCGGGCTTGAGTAGAACGGAGCCTTCCTTGTTGTTTGCTGTCGTGTAGTGGTACGGTGTGGAGATGACAGTCGGTGTGAGTGCGAAACGCTTGGCGATGGTGTCGGCGTATTTCGCGGCGCTGAGGTAGATAGCGTCTTCCTCTTCCCGGATGTTGAGGCCGAGGTACTGTGTGATGGTAGATGAGACCGTGAGTGTGAGGTCTTGCTGTAGCTCCCCTTCGAACCAGGTTGTAATGCCGTCAGTTGAGCCGATGTAGAGCAGATCGTCTACATAGACGATTAGCAGGATGTAGTCGGTACCCTTCGTGAGCCGGTACATGCCCTGGTCGTGCGGCAATTGCTTGAAGCCGATGCGAATGAGGCGAGCGTGTAGGTATTGTTGCCATAGTCGCGGAGCTTGCTTGATGCCGTAGAGTGACTTGAGTAGTTGACAGACGTGGTTCGAGTCCGTGCTGGAGCCGTGTGGTAGCTCGGCGAAGATCTCTGCGTCAACGGGTGCGTAGAGAAATGCGTTAGCGACGTCGATTTGCCGCAGCTTCTTCTTCTTCATGGCGGCGATCGCGAGAAGGATGCGTAGCGAGGTGTGTCGGCTGACCGGAGCGAATGTTTCGGTGAAATCGCGTCCGTGCTCTTGGTCGAAGCCGCGTACGACCCAGCGTGCCTTAAATTTGTCGATGGTGCCGTCAGCCTTTGTCTTCACACGGAAGACCCACTTCCCGGTGAGCACTGTCTTGTTCCGTGCCACGCCGATAGGAACCACTTTCCACGTGTTGCGTTCCTCCAGTGCCTTCAGTTCCTTGTCCATGGCTTCGCGCCATTTTTCCCTATGTTCCCCCCCCAGAGCCTGCTGAACCGTCGCAGGCTCTTTAGGAGTGGCGGTGCCGTGGACTGCGGTGACGAGTCCGAGAATCTGTAGTCCACTCTGTGAGTAGCGGGGAAGATTTACGTCCTCGGGATAAGCTGCTTCATCTCCCGCTTCTGGATCAGGTATGAAGTTCGGTCCTACTCGTTCGGCTTCGTTGGTGTTGACTGTCGCAGGTGTTACGTAACCGTTGTCGGCGAAATGGTAGAAGGTTTCGGCGTTGGCACTTTCGCGAGGGTTGTCTTCGTCCATGGGAACGTCGACGGAGCAGAACGGAAGAGGTCCGGCTTCTTCTGATGCGTTGTCCACATTCTGCTCGTCCCAGTCGGCTTCGTCCGCTGCTGAGGCGAAGGCTCGGTCACCACGAAAACCACCTGTGGGATCCTGGTCTTCGTGCAGGTTGGCAAGGTATGTCTGGAGCGTGAGTCGTTCGTAGAAAATTACATCACGTGCTGCTACTGTTTCCTTGGAGTGGACGTCGAAGATTTTCCACGCGTTGTAGTTCTTTTCGATTCCCAGGTGTAGTCCCCACTGTGCTCGTTGAGAAAATCGGCCCGCTCGTGCTGCTGGGGGTCGGTACTGTACCATGCATCCGAATACTCGTAACATTTTTGTGCTGCCCTGTTTCCCTGTCCATAGCAGATGCGGTGATGCGTTGTTCGGAAGCGATGATGACGACAGCAAGTTGTGCAGCATGACGGCGTGGTCCATTGCTGCAGGCCACTGGTGGTTGGGTAGCCGCATGCCACGTAACAGTTTGCGCATGCTGTTCTGCAAGGTCCTGTTCATTCTTTCTGCTACACCCTGCTGCTGATGGGCGTAGGGAAGGGAGATGAGTCGCTTGATTCCCCTTTCCGCCAGGTACTGCTTGAATCGCTGAGAGGTGTATTCTCCTCCTCCGTCTGACTGGAAGCTTTTCAGCTTCACGCCTGATTCTCTCTCTGCTACTGGTAGCCAGACAACGAAGGCTGCGAATGCCATGTCGCGGCTAGGGAGGTTTAGGTGCCAGACGTAACGGGTGGCGGCGTCGATGAAGGTGATTGTATAGTTGTATATTACTTGTCCTGGTTCCCGATTGTACAGGATGTCGCTATACACCTTCTCGAGTGGTGCGTACGCGGGTGCGCTCGGGTTGTGATGAGACGCAAACGGTCGATGTGGTAAGTCACCCTCAGGGCAGGTGAGGCACGTTCCGCGTACTCGTTGAAGTTCTCGTCCGTCGGTCAGTAGAAGTGAGTCCTTGTCGAGTACTCCAGCTCTTATCGTATTGTTTAATACTGTGTTGCTTGGGTGTCCCATCCTTGCGTGCCAGGTGCTTTCGTCGGCGCGATGTCCGGGTGATCGTCGGTACATATCTGAGTTGGAGTAGAAGTTGGCGGTGAAGTTGGCGCTACGATGAACTTCTCGTGGTGCTGGGTGTAATTGTTGCGCGGGTGTCGGTGGTGTGTCGTCGATGAGGAGCGGTGTCGTTGAAGGACCAGCAATTGGTGTTGACGTTCTTGCTGCTGCCGTTGATGGTTCTGCTACTGCCGATGTTGTCTCTGCTGCTGCCGATGTTGTCTCTGCTGCTGCCGACGTTGTCTCTGCTGCTGCCGATGTTGTCTCTGCTGCTGCCGATGTTGTCTCTGCTGCTGCCGACGTTGTCTCTGCTGCTGCCGATGTTGTCTCTGCTGCTGCTGTTGTCTGAATTGTTGCTAAC